TTACAGGGACAAAATAAAATTCACCCTAGATGGTATATATATTAAATTCTGCATGGGATTTGTAACTCTTTCATGTATGTAAGCAATACAAAATTCTTCAACTTAGTATAAACTGTATAATGTAGATTACAACAAACAAAATAAAATATATGTGAATACTCTAAAGATCATGTCAGATTATGATGTAGAAGGCATGTTGACATAAAAGAATTGTCTATTTAAATTTATTGAATTCTGGAAAAATGTTGGAGGTACTAGGTTTTGAATATATGACCTTGCTTCATTTGCTTGCTTAGCTGGTGCTCTACCATTTGAATCATACCTCTATCACCAATTCTTTAAAAGGAGAAAGAAAAGCAACAGCAATATGTTAGGAAAGTTGTAGTGGCAACAGACTCTGAGTGAGTTAGAAGAAAAATAAATAAAACATACCATTTCATATTACAAGTAATTTGATTAGAAGTAATTTGAATTAGATCATATAAAATATTTCCAATTTCCAATCAGATCACAACCTGTGATGAATACAAATGCAGTTGTTATATTCAATGTACATTATGTAAAAATTGAACTATATATTTTGAGAGTAGGGAGTAGAAGGGGAAATGGGGGAGAATAATGGAAGTGGTGACATTGATCAACATGTATTGTACTCATAACTTGGCTTCTGAAATTAATACTCCCTTGTATCTACTACAAATCCATAGTAATCAAAACAGCTTGGTACTTGCACAAGAACAGATCTGAGAACCAATGGAATAGAACTGAAAATCCAGAAATGAACCCACAGATTATAGCCACCTAATCTTCAATAAGGGAGCTAAAAAATAGAATGGAAGAAATACAGCCTCTTCAGTAAATCGTGCTGGCAAAATTGGTTAATCACCTGTGAAAACTAAAACTAGATGCTCACATATCACCCTGCACCAGAATCAACTCCAAATGTATTAAAGACCTCGGAGTCAAAGCAGACAACCTAAAAACATTACAGGATGGAATAGGAGAAACCCTAGGTCTCCTTGGCACAGGCTGAAATTTTCTTAATAGAGACCCAGAAACACAACTAATCAAAGAAAGGTTGACAAATGGGATTGCTTGAAGCTGCAGAGCTTCTGCATAGCAAAGGACATAGCTATCAAGATCAATAGAAAACCCACAGATTGGGAGAAAATCTTCACTAGGCATACAACAGACAAGCATCTCATATCTAAGATATACTTAGGACTAAAAAAATTAAATTCCCCAACAACAAATCCTCAAAGAAACAACTGCACGATAAATAAGTGAGCTAAAGACTTAAAGAGAAGCTTCTCTGAAGAGGAAATAAGAATGGCCGTTAGACACATGAAGAAATGCTCAATCTCTCTAGCCATAAAAGAAAAGCAAATCAAAACAACATTGAGATAGCTTATAAACTTGTAAGTAAATATGTTGGCTGGTATGCAAGTGTAGACAAACGTATTAACTGAAATATGGTGGATTCAAAGGAGAGCTCAAGTAGTGTAATTTCTTAGAAAACAAAGTCAAAGTTCAGCAAAATAAAACACCAGGAAGCAGGTACTTGTTTTTTGTTTTTTTGGGGGGGAGGTTGTGGGGCTTGAACTCTGGGCCTGGGCGCTGTCCCTCAGCTCTTCAGCTCAAGGCTAACGCTCTACCACTTTTAGCCACAGCACCACCTCCAGTTTTCTAGTAGTTAATTGGAGATAAGAGTCCAATGGACTTTACTGCCCAGGCTGGCTTTGAACCGCGATCCTCAGGTCTCAGCATGAGCCACCAAAGCCCAGCTAAGAAGCAGGTATTTGAAAAAGGTGGGTTTGAGGCCAAGGAGAAAAGAGAAGACAAATGAAGAGGAGAAGGGGGCAAGGGAATGCAGTAAAGAATCTAATGTATATCCTACAAAATTAAGAAGTATGAAAGAAGGAGTGGCTAGGGGAGGGGTGAGTGAGAATGTTGGAAGGGGTGATGATCAAGATATACTCATAAACTGCTTTGTTAAATGGCGACTCCCTTGTACAACTACGTAAGGATAATGAAGTATGTACACACATTTAAAACTCTAAAACTTACAAAATGTATTAATAACAAAATAGATCCCAATCTTCTATTTGTGTACTATGTCCCCCTGAATGTATCTTTACTGCATTAAAATAGGATAATATAAACACCAGTAGGCAGTGATGTTGGAAATTTCTTTAGTAAATATAATACATACTATGCATTCTATATATTATTTTATAATTAATTAAGAACAGCCACAAAAAACTAAAGAGAAAAAGGCATTTGGAAAATACCTGAGTTTTGGTAAGGTAAGAAAAGATCAGCAATTACTCTCATGTCAGCTTTGGAAGAGGCAGTAAAGAAACTTTGAGTGGTATTCCATTTTCCCCTCCTCGGGTTTTACCTCAGTTGCAAATAAACTTATTTATATAAAACAAATATTAATAAAATTATAAAACCCATTGTATGTATATTTTATTATCTTTTCATACTGCTAGTATTTTCTAGTAAAAAAATTTCTGTTTGAGAAAAGTCATAGATACTTTTCGTGAGATACCCCTGGAAATCAAAGTGTATTGTGGGTATTCCGTTATCATAATATTAGTTCCTGAGAAGTTTGCTAATCTTCAAATCTTTCCACATATAAACAGAAGGTAGAAACTCTCTTTTACCTCATCAACACACAAAGAAAGAATGATAACCACATATTTAGTTAAATAATTATTGGGTGCTACAGAATTTAAGACTATTCCTATATGACTATTTTTATGGGCTCATAGAACTTAAAAGCTAGTAAATCATTCTTTAGGATAATACCAATCTAATTAGCTAGACAGTGTCTGCTTCTTCGTTAGTCCATTTAAAAAAGTGTTCATATATTTTAGTGATGTCTCATTTGCTTTATGTTTTTGCCTTAATTAGAGATAAATTTATTTATATAAAACATTTTGTGCACAATACCATGGCATCATTTTAATGTTGCATATATATTTAGATATTAAATTTCACAAAGTATTTAAAAGGTTATTCAAGGAAAAGTAACCTTTATTTATTCTTTTCTAGGAGGTAGGACTGGAGTTTGAACTCAAGGCATCATACTATGACAAAGCTTTCTGGCTTATGGCTCCCCTGTACAACTTGAACCATATCTCCAATTCCAGTTTTTGGTGGTTAATTGGAAATTAGAGTCTCACTGACTTTCCTGCGTTACTAGGCTTCTAATCAAGATTCCCAGATGTCAGCCTCCTTGAGTGCCAACAGCTTTTGTTACTCTCTGCTACTAAAATGAAAGATGCAAATGTCATTGGAACACTGCGCTGGTTTGTGATGTGTAATCTCCTTCCTCTTTACAAATTTTTACCTGTGCTGAAGCCTTTCTCTGGACTCCTCCAAGTATTTCTCACATGGCATTTTGAGAATAATTTATGGAATTTGTCGCTGCTTGAGGCTCTCCCTAAGGAGTTGTTTAAACTGGTAATTATCCCTAATAAATCTGAGAATTTAACAAGATATCTAGAGGCTGCTCTCGATTAATCAGGGGCACTTTGTATTCATTGGTGTATTCTGTTTCTCCAGGAAAATAGAAGAGCAAATAAAAATTTATGTGTGTATATGGTTATAGATGCACATATGTTAAATATATATATAATAAACATATAAACACATTATATTATGCATGCTATATGTGTGATATATGCATGTACGCTCATAAAACAGACATATGAACTGTATATATATATATGTGATATTACATATATCTATACATGAATATAATGAAACCCACCAAAAGATCAGAATAGGAAGGAAAGAAGTAAGGGTATTATGGTGGAGAAAGTGAGTTTGTTCAAAGTACGCTGCATATATAGCAATATTACTGGTCAAACATTGATTTTATGAATGCATGTTAACTCAAAAATCGTGTTTATAGTCATTTAATTTCTTTACTAAATGAAGAAACTCATCATTCTTCCACATCTCTACCAAGCCCACCCATTTGTTCACCCTTCTCTGTAAACATCTATTTCTTCCCGTAAACTCCTCCCTAGATACCACAATCCCAGCTTCGTAATTATCTTTTTGATTCCATAAGTCTGTCAAATGCTTTAAACAAGAATTTTTTCTACTATAAAATTATCTCCCAAACCTTGTAAATTAGCTTTTGCTCTGAGATCCCTACTGGAGGTCTAGGATCAATGGGGAGTTTGAACTGTTTTATTTTATTTTTTGTGTGTTTTCTGGGATTATTTTTTTAGCTTACAGTTCCCTGGCTATTCATCTGAAATAAGAGTACCCATGAATTATTCATACATAATTCAGAATTCAGCCGCTTACTCAGGAGAATCTCGAGCAGAGGAAAAGATGAACATAATAAAATATGCAGGCAACAAATAGCAATATGCCAGAAGAAAGTGCTCCATTTCGAATTAATTTAAATACAAGTAAATTAAATTGTGCAATTCAGAGAAATAAATTATCATGATGGAAACAAGAAAATCATAGTAACAGAATACATGGTTTTTGCAAGAGATGTTATTTACACCAGTGTTTTATTTTCAGAACATACAATAAAAATAAGGTTAACTAGATAGCTATTGACAAAAGTGAAACAAAACAAAAATGATAAACCAAACATAAATTACTATTGTAAAATTTAATAGGTATTATTACTGCTGGGAGAATATAAAGCTCTATGGTAGTGTTAAAGAAATATTGATGTAGAAGCAAGAAGTATTGGGAGGAGTTCCTTAATGGATATATGATAGATGAGGGTGAATGAAAGTGAATATAATAGAATAAATCACATTGTGTAATGCTATCATTATTTTTTACTGTGAAGCTGAAATGTATGTATGTATGTAGGTAGGTAGGTATGGACATATGTATGTATCTACCTATCTAGCTAGCTAGATATCATCTACCCATTTATATTTTTCCACCTGTTAGAAATACAGTCAAGTATTATTTTTATCATTGTTTATTGAAACAACATTTTGCATTACATATTAAATACAAGGCTTAAATAGATTGTTAAAGATTCTGTGAAAGGCATTTTTTACTTCTTTGTTTCTAACGCTGTAAATCAAAGGATTCAGCATGGGGATCACTAAGGTGTAAAACACAGATGTTAATTTGTCCGTGTCAAAGGAGTGGGTGGATTTGGGCTGCACGTACATGAAGAGTAGAGTCCCATAGAACACCACCACCACAGTGAGATGAGAACCACACGTGGAGAAAGCTTTCTTCCTGCCTTCTGCAGAATGCATCCGACACACCGCTAACAGAATCAGAGTGTAAGATATCAGGATGACTACGAGGGAAGAGATCAGGTTAAACGCTGAAAACACAATGATGATCAATTCTATATCTTGTGCATTTGAACACAGGAGAAGTAACAGAGCAACATTGTCACAGTAGAAATGACTGATGACATTAGAGCCACAGAAGTTCAAGATAAAAATCTTAACAGTGATCATAAGGGCTTGAAAGGCACTGTAGAGGTATGGGATGCCCACCAGCACACGACAGAGCCTCTGAGACATGATGACATGGTAGAGCAGAGGGTTACAGATGGCCACATAGCGGTCATAGGCCATGGAGGACAAGATGAAAAGCTCACTGATGATGAACGTAATGAAGAATGCCATCTGGGTGGCACAAGCATAATAGGAAATGGTATTTTGATCCGAAATAAAATTTACTAACACCTTGGGATAAATGACTGTGGAATTGCCAAGATCAATGAAAGCCAGGTGTCTGATGAAAAAGTACATAGGTGTGTGTAGACGGGAGTCCAGCTTGGTTAGAATGATCATGCCCAGATTTCCCACCACTGTCACTGCATAGATAAGGAGGAAGACCCCGAAAAGGGGGAGCTGCAACTCTGGCTGTCTTGTGATCCCCCAAAGAATGAATTCAGTGGGTGTTGTGAGGTTCTGTTGGCCCATTTCCTCTGAGAACCTCTTCTGAAAAAAGACAGATGTGTTAAAAGCTTTTAAATATAATCATCAAATTAGATGATGAACTCCACAGAATGGAGGTTTTTTATTGTAGAGGATGATAGCATAAGAATTTCAAGTTCTGATTTTAACAGTCAAAGAATAGAATCTTCCACTTTCCCAAGTAGAAATCTGTGTGAGGCACAATGTCACAAACAGGTTAAATTCTTAATAAAGAGCCAATGATATTTAGAGCATAGCTGTTGGTACAATATTTACACAATTGAATCACAATTTTTAAATACACTTCCATTTTTGTCTGTGAATTCTTGTTCTTCTTGTATTTTTGCCAGTACCTGGGCCTTTTTGCTAAAGTTCTACCAATTGAGACACCTCTCTATTTCCAGCTTTTTGCTGGTGAATTGGAGATAAGCATAGCAGTCCAAGCAATTCTAACAAAGAGTAACTTTAACTTGTGTGCTTAGAATTGCTTTAAACCTTGATTCCCAGATTTCAGCCTCTGGAGTAGCTAGAATCATAGGCTTGGAGCATCAATACCTGGTTTGTCTGGAAATTGAGATTTGACATTCTTAAAAATGGAAGTAGAGAGAATATGAAACTAATGAAGTCTAGAGCCTCTTGTTTGTCTTTTGTTGGACTTAGAACAATAGAGGAACAAAGAGATACACATTCCAGCTTGCAAAAGCAAGATACAAGCCGGGCGCCCATGGCTCATGCCTGTGATCCTTGCTACTCAGGAGGCTGAGATCTGAGGATCACGGTTCAAAGCCAGCCCGGGCAAGGAAAGTCCGTGAGACTCTTCTCTCCAATAAACCACTAGAAAGCTGGAAGTGGCGCTGTGGCTCAAGCGGTAGAGCGCTTGCCTTGAGCTGAAGAGCTGAGGGACAGCACCCAAGCCCAGAGTTCAAGCCCACAACTGACCAAAAAAAAAAAAAAAGTAAGATACATTAACCACAATCCACTAATTAATCTACTGTCTTTTACCATTTGAAGTTTTACATTAATGGAAATCAGAATGCCTCAACCTATCTCTGAGCATTTGTGGGATTCAACTAATAGACTAATAGCAAATTGAGTTGATGATATTGTTCATAAAGTTCAAAAATCAATGCTACTTAGTTAATCAATAATATCTTCCCACGTAGAAAAGGTTATTTAAAACACACCATCCACACATGTAGCAAAAATGTTGAATTGTATAAATAATATCAAAATCATTTTAAATTTGATATTACTTTGACAAACTATTCAGAAATGAATTTAAAATTTTCCCATGTGAAATAAATATTTGCATCATTTATCAAATTCCATGTATTATTTTACTTTTCTTTTTTAAAGAAAATTCTTTTTGACATAGACTACTGGACACTAAGCGTGTGAGTCTACACTACAAAACCTGTATAGAATAGCTATGTATTCTCAATATACTTGGCATTGATAATTTGGTAGTATATGCTTTACTTCTATTTAAATCACATTATGGAGATATCCTAGTTAGTTATCTTAAATATTCCTTTGAAAACTGAGTATATATATATATATATATATATATATATATATATATATACAATTATTTCTTCAAATTTAAAGTAAAATATTTAGAGTATAACTGTGATTTTCAAGTTTTTGGTAGTGTGCATTAGGTCTGTACATAACAAAATCGCCACAGAAGTAGCTAAATTGAAATCTGATTTCTATTGTTAAAGACGGGGAGCCCAGTTTAACTTAATCTCTTGAATGCCCATCCTATTCCATTCAGTGTTTCTTCAATGAAAACATAAAATTAGGTTATAGCTATTTCCAATTGGAGAAGAAATTAGATACGAGAATACTCAAATAAGTTTCAGAAAGGAGCAATAAAGTGTTAACATGTCTAATTGCTAAGTAGGAAATCCAGGAAGTCCACTGCAAGATAGAAATTAGTCTGCAGCAGATCGAGTCCCAGGAACCTGATACAGCTGTCCCTCAGTCTAGGAATGTTTGCTATAGTGGCATCTGCATTTGCCTTCTTATCAGAGAATGAAGCCTAAGGAGAAGAGAGATACTGGAAATTGCTGGGCTGCTACCATTCCCTTTCCTGCATAACATGGTCTGCCGTTTCTCCAGTTTCAGTTTTTTCAAAATTCTTTTCCTTTCTTTTTTCTGCTTTTTTATTAGTGTTTATTCATCTCTCACAGACACAGGTTCTCACTGTGATGTTACCACATAGGCAGACAATGTGTTTCCCAGAAACCCATCCCTCAACTGTCCTTAACTCTTGTCACCATTTCAGTAGGTTTGATTGTTCTAGTTTCATACCTGTGAATGGAATTCTTAGACCAGAGTCACCCTCCCACACCTTCTATGTTTATCCTTTTATTTCTTTCTCATGGATACATCATCCTGACAAAAACCTTGCTTTAGGTCCCTCCTCATCCTAAAGTAAGAACGATAAGCCTATTGCTTTTCATAAGTTAATTTTGAATGCATAGGGCCATGGACCCTATCTGAGGTTTACTGTGCCATAGGAAATGTAATGCATTAAGCAATAGAAATTCAGAATTCCAGTTTCAGTTCTTATTTATATTTTGCCAAGAGTTCATCTAGTTCTCCCTAGGTTTCTTCTCCTCTCTTCTCTCCTTTCTTCTTTCTTCTCTTTCCCTCCCCTGTTCTCTCCTTTCCTTGCCCCTCCCCTCTCCTCTCCTTCCCACTTTTCATTTCCCATCTATTCTCCTCACCTCTTTTTATTTTTCCTTTGACTTTCATCTCTCTTCTTTTCTTTTTTATTGGTACTAGAGTTTGAATTTAGGGTCTTTCTGCTACAAGGCTGATGCTCTACCACTTGAGTTACTCCCCCAGTATCTATGTTATGGTTTAATTCTTTCTCTATTTTTAAGGCAGTTATTATGGTCCTCTAAGATGTGTATATACCATACCTTACACTATTCTTATCTGACAAAGAATATTTCAGATTTCTTCTGGATAGTAATAATCATATTCTAAATATCTGTGTGTAGAACATTAAAAACAAATATCCATAAGACAATAGTTAATGAAAAAGACACTGACATTTTTAATGTAGTTAAAGAGCCCAGCTGTCAAAAACCATCAGACTGTTGACAGGATTCAAGGGTTAAGGAAATTAGTCAAACTCGGATGATTGTCAAGATGTAATTCTTATCCACTTACCTAGAGCTTATAAAGTCAGATGTCTTTCACTTGAATTATTACTCTACTTTTTTCTTTGAATGGGGAGAATTTATGGGTTTTTCTCTTTATTGGTGATGTTCCCCAAAGAAATGTCATCTAATTTTTTGTTTATTATGACTAAACCATATGAGAGACTTAAAATAAAACTGCCTTGACAGTCTCCTCATTCCCTAGTGAGAAGCTATAACTACAACTCTCAGAAAGTAGCCAAAGAATACTCAAGATCTGAACAATTCCCTCGAGAGAGACCTGCATGATTTAGAGACAAATATTAAAATACCTTAGGAGAATACTCTGACACCTGCTTTATCCATAGAAAAGTAAACTTGTTCCGGAGTTACCATGAAATTTTAAATGAAGTAATGATCATAAGAATTTCTTGAATTCATATTTTTCATTAATGAAAAATGAACAAGAAGCTGCAACAACACTGAAGAAATAAGTTCATAAGAATTCAAATAGAGGTCTGTACAACATAAAGAATGTACTCATCTTGCCCATGTAATTGTAACCCCTCTTTACATTATCTTCACAATTAAAAAAAAAGAATCCAATACTGATGTGAATTCTTATGAAATTTATGTTGGTATTGATCATGACCTCTTTGTTAACTGATACTCCTTGTAATGATTAATTTTTTAAGATGTCACTCACTTCACTATTATTGACATTTATTGTTGTGGACCTGTTGAATTTTAGTGGATTCATGTTTTCTTCCCCTTCCCCCACATTTCTTGTGGTTTGTCCTTGGGATTTGAACATCTGAAGCCACATCATTGACTAAAAATTTCAATCATCTACAGTCCTTCCATTGAAGTGTCTTCTCTGTGCAGGAGGATCAATGTGCTATATTTTTTTACTACTGCCCTTGGGGTATAGCTCAGTAGCCATGCAACAGCCCAGTATTCAAGGCACTGGACCTGATCCCCAGCCTCACTCAAGTTATGATAAAGTAATGGAGGTATCTTGTAGGTAGCTCAGTGACCCAGTTCTAGGATAATTTTCCTACCAAAGTTTCCTTTCTTGGTAGATAGAGAGCCCAGAGAGTCACAGCCGGCGACTGGGAGCTTTACAGCTTGTGAGTCAGGCAGATTCCTGCTTGTCCTTGAAGTACCCCCAGCCTAATTGGTGTCTCCCTAGGACAGCAAGGATCCAAGATTAGCAATGGATAGCAGGCAGAGCCAGTACATTCTGTGCTGACCAAGGGAGAACTGAGGACGTAAGTACCCTGCCTTCTCGTCTCTCTGCTTTCAGATGCTCCCAAGTATTTGTCTCCCTGCCTTCCTGAGGAAGAAATAAGGAAGAGGAAGAGAAATAAGAGAAATAAGGAAGAAGCTGTAGACATTACCTGACTTCCAAAGTCTCACATTGGAGACCTCAGTCCTGCCTGGGAGCAATACAACGGAATAGAGTTATCTGAAATATACCTTGATTCTTTCAGAACTCACCAAGTAGTTCACCTCTGGAGATGGGTAGGGTGAGGTGGGGGTGGGGTAATGGTGAAATCATGTGATTTGAAGACTTTAACTGGGGTTTTCTGCCCCTTCTGGCTGTGGTTCAGCTCCCAGAGGTGAGTGTCTGTGCCATGAGTATCTCCCTATATTTACTCACTGTTAGGGTAGGAGCCTACAGAAAAATCCAATCATTTAGAAGGCATGCCTCTGAGTTGTCAATTCCTTCCAGCAAGAAACGCATCAGGATGAGGGTTCAAGAAAAGGGCTTGGGGTGTTGGGAAGATGGCTCAGTGGTAGAGCACTTGCCTTGCCTGCATGAGGCCCTGGGTTCTATTCCTCAGCATC